CTTCAGTAGGTGTGGATCAGACGTGGGGGATGCTGCCTTTCTCCCAGTCTGCCCTCTTGGTGGTCAGTATCACCACAGACATCAAAGGGTAAATTGCAACCCGGGAGTTGGCCCTGGCTCTGCTCCTACCTCTGCCATTGCTCTGCTGGCTGAAGTCTGGCAAGCATTCCCAACCTTGGTCTCCCTATCTGTGTAGTGAAAAATAAATAGCAAAAACTTCCGGAACTCAATAGCTAAATGCAGGTTAGCCAAAGCCATGTAAACCATCAGAATTTGTCTCTGAGAGGTCCAGCATATTCCCTAGTCTGTCTTCTGTCAGCTTCCAAGCACCACCTCCAGTAGAGTAAAATACAATGATTTACAGACACGTTTAGAATCTGACAGCTTCATATACATTAAACAGGGAGCAAAATTAGTGGTCACCTTTCTAATGCCACAGGCTGGTGCACTAGTGTCTTTAATAGATTATCTACTTTTGCTGCTTATTCCTCACTGAAGTTGTGTTTCTAACACCTCTTAAGCTAGCTACCTTGTAAATGGGGAGAGCTATCAATTTTCATGCTGCAGGGCACAAGGTGATAACCATCTGTACTGCAGAAGCAATCCGTTCTGCTCCTTTCTATTCTTGCGCAGCAAAAACAAGTACAATGAAGAGGGGCTGATGGGATAATTTACACCTTGAAGTAGCCAGTCAACTTGTTTAGGTGTGTTCAAGCACTTACACAGGTAGACATCCACACACACACGCAGTAGAATGTATTGGTCTGTTGAAGAGGTGATTAAGCTGATGGTCTCTACTTTGACAGTGAACCCTTCAGGAAACTTGAGGCTGGAAATACTGAGTACTCTGCTCACCTAGTATAACCTTCTGCACGTAAAACTACAGAGCCAGCGGTATTTGCATCTGACCACAAACTTCTGGTGGGGTTACAACTTTGATTTTTGAAGAGATGTAGCCAACCTTGAATCTTGCCAAGCACTCACATTCAGCATTACTGCTTTGGAAGACAAAGTATGTGTTTCACAGTATAAGTTGCTATGTACGGTGTTTGTAACAGATACATGTAAAACACGAAGTATCATGTACCGTAGGCTGTTTTCACCTTGACTCATTTTGGAACAATCTGAAGACACAAATTCAATGCAAAATGTACAGTACCCACTGAGAGCTGCTGTTCTGTTTCAGTTTCAATATGAGGACTCAACCACAGGACAGCATGCATGATGGAAACAGCATTCACAGTAAGTTTGAACTAACTTTTTCTTCCATTTTGGCCAGGCACTCCATGCTTACACCTGGCTGCCTGGCAGGTAGGATGACGAGGCAAGAAGAGGGTAAAGACAGATCTCTCGTTTATCCCTGCTTTCTGCAGGGCAGACAGAATTGTTCTCATTCCCACGCCAAAAACTACTTAGCACAGTTGGGCAAATAGCAAAGGGGCCAGCACATGCAAATCAGCAGCTGGTTCCAAACTCCCAGGGGCAGATGCATCACCACTGACAGCATCAGGCAGGCCAGATGAGTACAGGACAGTACTTCAGCCTTTAGTGGGAAAATGACACTGGAGAAGTTCAGAAGAATGTCTGCTACCAACCAGCTCTAGCAACTGAAGCTCTCTT